TGACCCTGCCTGGGGGGGCCATGAGCCTGACCCTACCTCTGCAGGGTAAGTACTCTTGATTCTATCACTACCCTTATCTCACAAAATAGAATAAAATAAAACCACATCACGAGGAATACACCTTACTTAATTAGCCTTGATTTGTGTAATCAAGGAATGGGAAAAAGTCTAGGGTGTAGTTGGCCAAGGGACTGGAGCAAGGAACCAAAGGAAAGAAAGTGGGAGAGAGAAGCCTAGAGATTTGAGGCTTCCCTAGGAGTAAATCCGTGAAGCCCTAATGAGTGAACCTGGAGAACTCTCTTTGGAGAGTTGTCCACCCTATGCCTGTGGGCCGCTTGCAGATTATTTGAGGACTGTTTTGCTTATCTGTGGTGTTGGATATAGTGAAAAGTATGCACAGACCTTTTCTTTTGCTGTCAGTTTTTGTTATTGATTGTGTATTTATCTTTGTTTGTTTGTTTGTTTGTTTTTGCAGTTTTTGGCCAGGGTTGGTTTTGAACCCACCACCTCTGGCATATGGGGACAGCGCCCTACTCCTTTGAGCCACAGGTGCCACCCTATTTTTTTTTTAATCTTTTTTTATTTTTTAAATGTTTTAGTTTTGCTGTGTAGACCTCAAGTGTTTGTGTACTTAATGTGTGGCCCAAGAAAACTATTATTCTTCCAATGTGCAACAGAAAAGGAAAAAAAATGGTGGACATCCCTGCTAGACCATCAGAGACTCACTTCCCCTTTCTGGGCTGCCTTACCGGATGGTTAGAGGCTGGACTAATTGAAGGGGCAGGCCGGTGACGCTGTTAGATTGTGAGAAGTAACTTCATGGTGATCGTTAAAAATACTACATTTAATCTGAAAGTTCAAGTGAAGTTTAATGTTAATTGAAGCTGTCATACAGCCTCAAATTTCTTCCCTTTCAAGAAAGCTGATTTTCCTCCCTCAGATGAAAAGTGAGTGATTAATTAGCCTGTCATTATAAAAGGAAATAATGTTAGTAGATACCGAGTTTCCTGTTAAATGGATTAGCTGTTGTATTCCACTTGGATTTCAAGTATACGTCTTAGAAACATACTCATCTTTATACAGAGATACCCCTGGTAAGGCTACATATTAAAATTGTAAGCTTTCTCTTGAACACTGACACTTAGCTTCCAAAAGAGAGCTGCTCAAATAATTTTCTATCTTAATGGGCATTTTAATATAGCTTTTTTTGTGTCCTAATTCTCCACCCCAACATATCCACAAACATTTTCCCCAGCAGTGTTGATTCATATGCACCTATTTACATGTATATATGCATCCAAGCAGTCCCAGCTGACGCCTGCCTGATAGATGGCAATCTTAGGTCCCCGGTTACTGCTCTCTTTCCTTCCCTGTTACTCCTGGGCATTTTCTCTGTCCCTTTCGTTTTCACCATTTGAACTGTGGGCTTTTCTCTACTTCAGAGTGACCTTTCCTTCTTCCCTCAATCCCTGATTCTTACTATGTTTTTATAAGATTTATAAGGAAACTTACATTTCCCTCGAATATGTCAATTTCCTCTCGACACATTCATACGCCTTAGGTACTTTCCTGGGTTTCATGTTCTTGAAGCAGTGACTTCAGTCCGGACTGGCTGCTCCCAAGGCCCTTGCACTGTGGCCGCCATCCTGGGGTTTCCCTTCACCATCACCCTAGCTTCTCTCTTCTGACGATTTCCCTGTTGTTCCAAATCCTATAATTTCCTCTCTATCATGCCCTCACTTTGGTGGAGTACTTCCTTTATTGCATCATGAGGAAGAATTCATGGGAGGTAATTTTTTTAAGCCCATACATGTCTACCAGAGTCCTGTGCAACCTCAGGTTTGATAAAATTAACACTAGATTTAAAAACTAAAGTGAATTGTCCCTTAGAATTTTGAAGGCATTATGGCCCTGCCTTCCACCTTCCAGTGTTGCTGCTGAGAATTTCTAATATTATTCTATTTTCATCTTTAACTGTTTTTTTTTTTCTTCTCTTTAGAAGGTTGTACTATCTTGTTCTTCTCTTCTGATATTCTAGTCTAGAGGCGTCAGGTGCCTCCTGTTTCCAAGGCATTTGGAAATTCAGGACGTGGAGTGTAAACTGGATTACTTCTTGACTCTGCTGCTGCCAGTTGAGGGTGCAGCTTTTTAAGCCGGCATACTTTGCAGTTTTGATTGATTGATTGCCTGTTATCTCTCCTTCACTCCTCCTTTTGCCTTTGGGACTTGAACCAAAAACAAATGCAAAAAACTTCACTATGGCTATGTTTGGGAAGAATAGAGGCGTTCACTCTTCCGTCTTCATCCAGAATTCTACTCCTGTGCTCTTCAGCCAGCTTTGTTGTGGATTTTGTCCTCACCCCATCAGCGGGACTGCCACAGAGGGCCGCTCACAGGCTCCAGTTGTCATGTGCTGGGCACTACTCTGTTCTCATCTCACTTGACTTCCCAGCAGTGTTTGATGTGGATGTGACTGCTTCCTCCTATTCCAAATGACCTCCTCCCCTGCTTTGAGGCGTCCACCCTGTGTTGGGGTTTTGCCATTCACTGGCCGTTCCACTCAAGTCTTCTCAGCTGGTTCCTTCTCCAGATCCAGCCTCTAAGTCAGTGGTTCTCAACCTTCCTAATGCCTCCTAATGCCGCGACCCTTTAATACAGTTCCTCATGTTGTGGTGACTCCCAACCATAAAATTATTTTTGTTGCTACTTCATAACTGTAATTTGCTACTGTTATGAATCGTAATGTAAATATCTGATACACAGGATGTATTTTCATTGTTGCAAAGGGGTTGTGACCCACAGGTTGAGAACTGCTGCTCTAAGTAATGGAATTCCACAGGGTAGCTTTTCAGGGCTCTGCTCCCTATTCTCACTCAGCCTAGCAGGTAAACTGAGTCCCATGGCTTTAAATCTGTTTGTGCTGTAGCACCTGCTGAGATCTCTCCTCTGAACTCCTGGGCTCAAGTGATCCTCCTGCCTCTTGAGGAGCTGGGATTACCTGGACATGCCAACACAACCATCTGATTTTTAATCTTTGTTTGTAGAGACAGGGGCTCCCTGTGTTGCCCAGGCCAGTCTTGAACTCCTGGCCTTAAGCGATCCTCCCTCTCAAACCTTCCAAAATGTTAGAATTACAGGTGTGAGCCACCAAGCCCGACCATATTTCAGAGAAGTTTTTAATCCCCACAATGCAGAGATCCATTTTGAAGCAGACTAGTAAATGTAGCAAAGTCTAAGGATATACATACTTAGAGTGTTTATACATTCAATGGGAGGGATACAAGGCCTTTGTGGAAAAGTTACCTCTTTTAAAAAACTGATGTGAAAGTAAATGGCCAACTGCCCACCAGAGGGCAGTGCAGATAGCAATTCTGCTGTCCCTGGCCGACTGGTGCCTGCTTCTCGGAGTAACTGACTCCACATGGGGCCGCTGTTCTCTGCACAAAGCATTTTTAGGATTCATCTCAGTCTATTTTAGAAGAATTAGAATGTGGTTAGTGATATTGCTTCCCATTTCTTTCTCACCACTCAGATCAGTTTTGAAATTCGGTGGATTTTAGCTTTGGGCTCCTCTTATTGGTGGAGTCTTTGGAAGGATCTGGCCATGGGAAGTGTAGCTCTGCCTTTCTTTGTGGGCTCCAAAGGCTAATTACACATTTGCCCACTCACATGTCAGGATTTATATTTGTCTTTTTATTCCAAATCGACAAACAATAATTCAATTGCAATTAATCTTTAAGTTTCCTGGGCTGTATTAAAATTCTAGGAATTTTATTCAGGGATTTTTTTACCTCCCCTTAAAGCTGTGATGTACTTCCTACTGAGTAGTTGACTTAAAAGAGTCATCTTTCTGGGTACTTACCTAGAAATGATGGGGGAGTGTAACTTTGCATGCTATAGAAAATTACCCGATAAATTAAATGGTTACTCTGTGATAGGTGATTGTTTTGTCCCCTAACACTTGTCCAGTGCCTGTGGGACTGTATTGTGCTGTTTGGCCAGGAAGAGGGGCGAGAGTCTCAGCTTTCTGAGGTGCTTATATTAGGGGACAGATAGGTTCCAGTCAAATTTAGATAAGGCCTTCAGTAAGTAAGCATCTGTGCTTTGGGGGTAACAGGTGATGAGTGGAGTGTGGCAGGGGAGATGGATGGTGTCACTTGTCCTGTCTTGGCTCAGTGCACAAAGTCTTGTGTAGGTAACTTTAAGGCCAAACTCCGTGTCAGGACAGTGCCAGCCCCTCTGGGTAGCTTGCTCTGACCCTCCCCAGATGAGTGAAGTGCCCTTCCTGTGTTTTGTCCACTTCATGTGTCTGCTGTTACATGGTATGCATGGTGGTTAATTTGCAGAGCAGGTCCCTCCTGAGGAGGAAGACAGGTTACTAACAGATTGGGGCCGTCTCCCAACCTGGGGCCATTCTGTGTTCAGGGGTAATGCTCCAAGGAAAGGAAAAATATTATTTCTTGTAGCTTATTTATAAAAGGCCATTTGGGAAAATATAACCATTTTAATCTTTTACAAGGCTTGGGGGTTGATTATTATAGTTCTTATATTAAAGTCACTTTCAGACTTCTATTGAAAATTTGTAAAGATTTATATGATAAACTGTCAATATTTTATTAGCTATAATTGTCTAAGCATTTCTAGTTATATGTTGCGCTTTCTAATTCTTACTAGAACTTCTTCCTAGCAAAGCTTGAACATCAGTCTCTAATCAGTTTAATCTCTAATTTTATAATATGATTAAATTCATCTGACATGGTTACTGGGCACATTTCAGTAATCAGACTGATACTTATCATGAAACCATTAGGAATATTTCAATTTTATAATTGGCCCTTTGGAATCAGCCTTTCTTTAATCTGCCAGTTAACAGAAATAGTTGTTTAAAAAGTAAAAACCTGACTTTACTACTGTATTTAATTTCAAAGACTGAAGTGGTTACAAGATATGTATAGCGTAAAATACCTAAAGAAACTGATGACATTCCTTGTTATTTATAGAGATACTTCCTAGTTGGAAGCAATCATGCAGAGACGAAGTACCGAGTCTTGAAAATTGATAGAACAGAACCAAAAGATTTGGTCATAATTGATGACAGGGTAAGTATCTTCCAGAAATTTTCATACTTTTTTTTTAAGGAATATAAGATATCCTTATAGTTTGTAGTGATATAGTAATTTTTTAGCATGCATCTAAAAATAAGTTATTTTTCTTGATTAGCTAGAATTTGAATCTGTTTCCTAGAAATTACTGATGTCAAGAAAAATACCAGAATTATACTCTCACCACATTTTGGTTTGGATATGATAATGAATATATTTTCTTAGAGAGTTGATATTTTAAGAATTTGGAGTAACTTAATATTGCGTCTACCAAAGAGATTACCTGTTACTGTGCTGTAACATGAAGGTTTCTACACTACAGACTTTTTATTATGTTAAGAATTACCTCTGGGACCTCCTCTGATGCTTGCTATATACTAAAGAAATGTTAAGCTGTTTTTATCCAGATATTGTATTATTTGGAGTTCAGGTGGCACAAAAACACGCAGGTCTTCGTCAGAAGTTAAATACAGTATGGTGGTGTTACTTTTAATAACTGTTAAAATGCAGTTAATTTTAACTTTTTCAAATGAAAGAACTTGACTTTTTGCATCAAAGTTCCCGTCTGTGGATATTTCTGAATGTATATAGAATCCTAGTTTCTCAAGTATGATAGTAGCTACAGTTTGGAACCCATTTTCCCTGAACTTTTGCAGAACTATTTATGGAATTATAATAACTGTAGGTAAATTGTTGTTTTTAAATTTTTATTTAATTATTTTGAGACAGAGTCTCACTTTGTTGCCCTGGGTAGAGTGCCGTGGCATCACAGCTTATAGCAACCTCAAACTCCTGGGTTCATGTGATCCTCTTGCCTCAGCCTCCCAAGTAGCTGGGACTACAGGCACCCCCCACAATGCCTGGCCATGTTTTAGAGATGGATCTCATTCTTGCTCAGGCTGGTCTCAAACTCCTGAGCTCAGGCAATCCACCTGCCTTAGCCTCCCAGAGGTCTAGGATTACAGGCATGAGCCACCAAACTTTAGGTAAATTCTTTGTTATGATTTCCCGCACTATTGGCAGAAGTCCATTTCCCCCACCTTCCCCCACCTACCCCCACCTGTCTGGGAATCTTTATTAATGTAATAGTTCTTGGCTTTATTTCAGGCTGAGGGTGGTTGAAGAGGGAGCCCTTTGAGAAGCTAAGAAAAGCTAAGAAAAGCTGTGGGCCTTCTCATAAAAAAAAATATATATATATACACCCCAAATTTTTGCTGTAGTTTTAAGGGAATCACATACTTCTTGAAATTTGCCTGTGGATTTCTTAAATCTCTGAACATCTCTGGTTTAGGATATAAAGTATCAACATAATTTTTTAGTATAGCAACATGATCCAATAACCAACCTTAATTGCTAATGATAAAGAACTTGTTAAATTTTTAAAATATCACTTAGTCATGGGTTACTATATACTTCTCTGTGAAGTAGCTAATGATTTTACAGGCAACTTTCAGTTTTCATGAGTAAATAATAAATAAGAGTAAGCATAACCTCACAGATTAAATGTGCTTATTTTTAGCATGTGTATACTCAACAAGAAGTGAGGGAACTTCTTGGCCGTTTGGATCTAGGGAATAGAACAAAGATGGGGCAGAAAGGATCCTCCGGGTTATTTCGAGCTGTTTCAGCTTTTGGTGTTGTAGGTAAGAAATCTGCCTCTCTCTCACTACGTTTTTTTCCTACATAGACTATTTAAGAAGAGTATGTAAGACTATAGGGCTTTATAATTACAACCTACTCTCTGTGGCTTTGGTTGTTTCAAACTTCATTCTCCATGAGTCAGATATCAAGCAGTACTTACCTGTTATCAGCTTGTGTGCTCAGCACTGCTCAGTTCTCTATAGGATATGAGCAAATATAAAAGTGTTTTTTAGAATTTGAGGAGTCTGCTGTTAGGCTTGTTGAGGAGCCAAAAAGTGAAAATTAGCCCAGACTATAAACATCTGCCCTGCCATTCATTAGCCAGAAAACAGTAAAACCAAATTTAAATCCAACGGGAATTTCTCCCAAGGACAAGCTACAGTTGTAAAATGTCACAACCCCTATCTTTGGATGACTGCTGCTTTTTTAACTTACTGAGAAATTGTTCTTTAAAATCACAGATCATTAGAAACTTTGCTATTTGAAGTTATAAGATAAACCATCCTCCTCTTAACCTCAGCAACCTAAGTCACTGTGACACTGAGAAGCAGTTTCGATTGACAGCTTAAATGCAGTGCTTCAGAGCAGGGGTTTCTGGACACAGTATTCCAGAGTACACTAGTTTTATTGTTTTCAAGGAAACAGGACCCTGAGTCCACTTCATAGTTCAGACTTGATATTGATCTCTTTCAGTACAGTTCTGCTTTGGGTCGAGCCTCTTCATTTGAGTTTTACGTAAGCTCCACCCTTCCCCCAGTCCTCTAATGATGTCTTTCCGTGAGTGAGATGCTCCATAGCTCCTCTGTTGGGCACCAGTTCCTCCCCGTGGTGGGTCAGTAAACCTGTCTTCACTGTACCCTGAGCTCTTCCCTGACTGGGGACAGAAGACAAAAACCAATACCCATGAAACAACTCCAAGATTATAATTACGAGCCACACTGTATATTTTAAATTAAATGGTGCTGGGGCTCACATAAGAGGTAAATTACTTGATCCTGGAATGGCCAGGAAAGATTTCCTATAGTAGGTGAGACGTGAGCTGGATCCTGAAGGAGAACAAAGTATGGATGAATGTGGGAAGAAAGGAGGAAACGCCAGGCAGGGTGGCAGCAGAGGCCACCTGGGGTGCTGGAATGGTGCAGAATAGTTGGGCCAGGCCAGATTGCTTGGGGACTGGAAGCCAAAGCTGAGGGCAATCACATGCCATCACCTCTGCTGCCAGAACCTGATGTGGAGTCTTTCCCTCCCTCAAACAATTAGAAAGTTATCTTTGTGTATATTAAATCCACTGGACTATATGTAATAATGAATAAATGATTTCTGTGGCTGTTAACAAAATTAATATGCAGTTTTAAATTTTTATATTTAATAATGAGCACTTTCTATTTTATGATTCTGTATTTGTTGAAATTTTGATTATATTCTGCCACATTTGGAGTTTGCTTTTCTTAGTGTGCTTTCATAAATCATCATATGTGATCCTGTTAGGACCATTTTGTGTGTTAGGTGGCTGCCAGGGAAGTTAAGGGTGGTCTTGAATGACTGGTTTCTCCCCAGGCCTGGCTCCTTCTACAGGCCTTCTGCTTGGTCTTGACAAGGCTCCTGTAGTTCTATGTTGAATGGATGAGTGTGGGCAGGTGTATATCTGTATAGTCATGGGAATTCATGTGATTACAGTCTATAAATTCCTCACTACATGTATGTTAAATTCCACGTTAGGTCGTGCTTATATTTTAAATTTAAGAAAAAAACTTGAAGTGAAATACTGTAGGTTCTAATTTAAATGTTACTTAATAGTTTATGCTTATTCCTTTAAATGCTGATATTTTATTACAGCTTTTTTGATGGAAATTTCCTAAGGTGTGTGTAATATTGAATGCCTTATTAGCCAAGGCATTATTATTCAATATTGAAACTTTCTTGGTGATTCAGTGAAACAAAGGAAAAATCAGTTATTGAACGTTTTAAAAAAATAGCTTCTCTTGGGTATTCTGGAGTCATATTGGGTTGTTTGCTTTTAGATTAAGGGGCCACTAGGCTATTGTACTGTTTTGTTTCTGTGGTGCTTTGGTCACTTTTCATTGTCCTCGACATGTTCACTTTTTGTAGTTATTCCTAGCCACATTTTTTAATTTATCGATAACCCAGCTTGTAAGATCAGAAGCTTTATTCGAATCAATTGATAGCCAAGTTTGTAATCAGACATTCATTTTAAACCCAAGTATCGGTTAATAAATTCTGGGTATGAGCTGAAGGTGTCTCCAAGTCTCTCTTAAAGGTGACAATCTTAGCTGTATCTCTTACAGTTGGAGGCCTCTGAGGTTTGAGACTGTTCTTGGGACAGTGAAATCACTGAGAAACGTACATATAAAGAGACAGATTAAATATTTAGAATTTCTGTGGAAAGGCACTTTATGTATTTTAGTTCAGCCACGTAAAGAAAGGCTAGAATCATTGAAGAGTAAACAGGGAGTTAATAAAGGCCTATAATTCTTCTTGTACTATCATAGAAATAATGACAGAAACTGAAATTATAGAACGCAAACTACTTATCTTTGAGAAATGCATGGTCTGGTTGTCAAAATAATGCATGCATGAACTGACTAGAATGGTTGTCTTTCATTCCGTGGCTAAAATATTTTCTTTATTCACTTTGTCAGCATGCCTGATTTGTGGATATTTTTGTTGGAATGTTTTCGGCTATTATCATGGTCCATTTAGTCCAACTCTGTAAGAATCTCTAGCAGTCCTTCTCAACTCCCTGTAGTAAGGACCAGTTTCCCCCCACCCTCAAATATGTCACAGACCAGTACCACAAAACACAATACCCAAACTAGGCTGTGTCCTGTGCAAAGCAAGGTCATTGATCTCGCACACAAAGGTGGCCATCTCGCATTTTCCCTAACTCTCAGTTTCTTTACTCGAAACCCTAACTCTCAGTTTGTTTACTTGTCTTCTCACCAGTAGCAGAAGTTCATGGGCCAGCACTGGTGCCTAGACTAAATTTTGAGTACTCCTGACCTACGAGGTTTTCTGATCTGTAAACGTGGGTTGATCCAGTCTTATAGCTACCTTGCTGATTCCCAATCTGCTCCATTGTTATTTGACAGCCAGCAGAAGTTGGGGGGCCCACTGGATGGCAGCATGAACATTCATCACGAAGTCATTTTGTCTGGTCCTGAGCCCCATACTACTCTTTGTCTCTGTGACCATCCCAGCTCCCCCCCCCCTTTTTTTTTTTGAGACAGAGCCTCAAGCTGTCCCCCTGGGTAGAGTGCCGTGGCATCACAGCTCACAGCAACCTCCAACTCCTGGGCTCAAGAGAGTCTCCTGCCTCAGCCTCCCAGGTAGCTGGGACCACAGGGGCCCACCACAACGCCTGGCTTTTTTTTTTTTTGGTTGCAGCCGTCATTGTTGTTTGGCAGGCTGGGCTGGATTCGAACCCGCCACCTTAGGTGTATGTGGCTGGCACCTTAGCCACTTGAGCCACAGGCACCAAGACCCCAGCCCCTTTTGCCTGTGTCCTTTTTCTGCCTCTGTCACCTGTCGGATGGTGCTGTCTCAGCTGCTCATGTTGGAGGAGAGTGGTACAATAGGAAGTGTCATCGTGGTAGACTAAGTGATGGACTGTTTTGTAAACCAGCACCATTAAAGGTAGCTCGAAGATCCAAGATAACAACAAGAACAACAACAGAGTGAGAACCTTAGACTAGTGGGAAAGCAGTGTGCCTTGACACTAGAGACGTCACTTGGCTTCCAGAGAGCTCTGTTGTGCAAAGGCACTAGGTACCTTGTGGAGATTTTTCATACTTCTCTGTTGGAGTGTTGTCCTCATCAAAGGCTTTCAGGATAACAGCTGGCTGGCATGGTGATCCTCCAAACAGGACACTGCATTCTTTCCTGTGAGTGGGCCAGTGGGGCTCCCGTCCAGCCACATCACTCATCCTTTCATACTGTCCTTACTTTGCTTGGCATCCCACTCAAGTGACACAGCCTTCTTTACTTTGGAGAGAGAGAAATCACCTTTGTATGATGATGGTCATCTTCTGAAGAGTACTTAGCAAAATTGGCCTGGGGCCAGAAGTACAGAGAATGAAGATGAAAAAGTGTGCCCTGGTTTTCAGTATGTTCGAGTGATGAATAGGTTCACTCTTGCTGCGTGTCTGTGCCAGACTGAAGCCCCTTAATTGTGGGCTGTATCTGAAAGGAATCTTAAAAAGAGAGACATTTCTAAATCATAGTAAAAAAGAAGAGGAAAATAATCTAGTTTATTTATGTATTTATTTATTTGAGACAAGCTAGAGTGCTGTGGGATCAGCCTTGCTCACAGCAACCTCAAACTCCTGGGTTCAGATAATCCTCCTGCCTCAGCCTCCCAAGTAGCTGCTGGGACTACAGGTGCCTACCACAACACCCTGCCAATTTTTCTGGGTTCATTTTGTTTGGTTTTGGTTAGTAGCGATGGGGTCTTGCTCTTGCTCTGGCTGCTCTCAAAAGTCCTGAGCTCAAGCAAACCCTTCCGCCTCAGCCTCCCAGAATGCTAGGGTTACAGGCATGAGCTCCCACACCTGGCCATAATCTGATTTATAATATACTGACAGCTTTGTGCTGAAAAAAATCTCTTTGATGCTGTATATTTGTAATATATTCATACAAATTATGAACAGAAATATAGAATGATGTGAATAGGCTGAAGCAAAGAATATCAAATTTAATTGGAATGCAGGGGAAAGTGTTACTGAGAATTTTTTACATAAAAATAAATATATGGCAAGAATAAAAGGAAAGTATTTTGTGAATATTTATTACTCAAACCCCATTAGATTCTGTCTTTGAGGTTTTCTTTTCCCTCTTCCTTTCTGATAACTGCTTCCTACCTTGCTGTTAATGAGGCTGTCCTCCCCTTTTTCATTTTCCTTTCTGTGCTGTGTCCTTCAGCTGTAATAAGGGAATTTTTGGCTAGTCTCTAGTGGGGAAAGTGGCCTAAATGAACATTTTTTAAAAAGTACTTTGTGCTTTGTGGATCACTAAAACATAAGTGTTTTTCATTATTTTAATAACTTTTTTTTTTTTTTCTCAGTGGCTTGGCTCATAAAATCCTTGAGGCATCTTTCCATTAAAGATTTCAGCTCATTTATGTTAATATGGTCAAATGGTATTTTTTTTCTTTTTTGTCAGCTAACAAGATGTAGATAATAGATATTTGCCAATTGTAGAGCAAAACTCCGTAGCACCGGGATCTTAGCTTAGGCTTTGTAGACTCTAACACTCTGGGGGAGGGGGAGATGCTGAGAGAGACAGAGAGAGGGGGAGGGAATGAGTGTGCAAGGCAGTTTTGAAAGATAGTTCCGGTAAATCAAAAATTCTTGCTTGATGGTTTCTTTTCTTTCCATATTTTGAATATGTGTCCAACTGCCTTGTGGGCCTTCATTGCTTCTGATGAGAAGTCAGCTTTCTGTGGCATGTCTGACTTGTCCTATGAGTGAGCTGGGCAAAGGTGTCAGGACCTAATATTCTTGGCTCCCCCTTTGATTCTACAGTTTTTACCAGTTCACATTGTTTCACGTTGCCATTTCAGAAGTGTTCCCCTCTTCTCCACCACCAAGTTGTTTTTAATGCCCAAAGCAAAGTCTGGGGAGACTGACAATTTTTGACCATGATTCTGTGAGAACTAGGGTGTTGCTGAGGATGTTGTGCTACTGAATGTTAATGCATATGGACCTTTCTTTAATCACCAGTATAGAACATCTGCATTCTAGTGAATTGACATAAAATGTAACTCTATGTTACAACTCTAACGGTTAGAAATGATACTTGTGTAAGGTGACCAGACATCCCCTTTTGGCAGGACAGTCCCGATTTTTAACAATTTGTCCCGCATCCCATGGCGTTTTAAAAAAGTCTTGATTTTTAGAAAGAATGCAGGACAAGCTAGGGAACAGCAGGACAACCGGAAGGGAATATACGGTCTGTCTGTCGGCTGCTGAAAAGATTAATGTAACTCCATTTGGGAATGAAGAGGTTAATGTAACTTCATTTGGAAATGAAAAGGCTAATGTAAACTCCCTAATCCCCTCCTGGGCAAGGTCTCCCAGGTGGACCAGGCACCCTACTCCTTTGAGCCACGGGCTCCGCCCTATACATAATTTTTTTAATGTATTATATTTGTAAATTGTACTTATGTTGAAATTAAAAATACATACATTACAATACTATTTTTGCATTCAATGAAAATTTTTGTTGCTCCATATAGACCAAATTTTTAATTAAGAACCCTCCCCCGCCATGGTGTCCCGCTTTACCAGTGTTAAAACTGGTCACCTTATACTTGTGGACAGTTTCACGAAGGATATACAATTTTCTGGCTACATAGTTTTGTTTGCTCAAACCTCCACTTTTCTGGGAACTGACATCACCTTCTCCCTTCCCCTCACCAGCCCCATCTAAGTCACCTACTTGTATAAAATCTTTTCTGAGGCAGTGTGACCCTATCTCGTGGCCACAGTTAATTGGTCTAGGGCTGGGTACTCAACCCAAGATGGGTCAATCCAAGTCCTTTCCTAGGAATTCTGAAATTGAACTTGATTTAAAAAAAAAAAAAGTCCATTTCTTCCCAGTGAAGCTTTTGAATGGAGAGTCTAGAGCTGTCATCAGTTGTGCCCCCCCCACCCCCCATCCAGGGAGGAGCCTGATCTTTGCGGAGAGATAAGAGTTGAAGCAGATGTTCAGAGGCACATCTTGTCCAGGTATTTCCAAGGCCCAGTCACACTGTTGTCCACGTGTCATGGATCACCTTAGTATCCTTTATATAAATTGGTTTTTTAGTTTAAGTTGGCTTCCAGCTCAGTTTTGCCATTAGTTATCCAGAGTCCCTGAAGCTAGTTCTTCTAAGTAACATTACCCAAAAATGTGTTCCTTGGAGCATTTATCCACTGGTACATTTCTTTTTTAAAAGTTGGGGGAAGGGGATTCCATGTTCAAATGCATCTGGAAGGGCAGTTGGTCATTATCTCCCGTCATGGCTCCCAGTACAGGTTAGCACAGCACTGTGAGGTTCTGGGAAGTTTTGTTTTAAGTTTCTTTAGTCCAATATTTCCCTGATTTATTTGTACACAGCCACGCCTCTCCCTCTGGAATTTGCGGACTAGTAGCTCATGGACAGTATATTTGGGGAAATGCTGCCATAGATACTTAAATTTTATTTTCGAATGAAATTAGACCACCATTCAGCTGTGTGCCTTGTCTGCATTATTTTAGATGTAGAGAGTGACATTGGGGTTTTATTTTGGCATACGCAATGGCCTTAAGAAATACGTCCTTGACACTGCTGGAGAATTCTTCTGAGATTGTTGTTCCCTATATCTCATATCTTTTTATGAAGAATCACTCTAGGATTTTATTTCCAAGTTCTCAGAATGACAATATCTTCTCAAGGTAACTGGTTTGGTTTTTTATCTTTCAGCGACTGTGTATAGTGTCCTTTTTCCATTATCTGTTAGAAAACACAAAGGCAAGTGTGGAGAATAGCACCTGGGGCCTTAGGATGTGTTCTTATATATGACTTTTTTCTTGTCTTCATCTTACTAGTTTTTTGAGCATCATCTCATTTATTATAATTTCCTCCCTCATTTTTATCAATGGGGGGTGTGTGTGTATATATTTAATTGTGGTATAATATATATAAAATTTACCATCCTAATCATTTTTAAGTGTACAGTATAGCAGTATTACCTATATGCATCTTATACAAACCTGAAGCTCTATAACCCATCGAAGAAGTTTCCCTAATCTTTTATATATTTCTGTTTAAGGCATCTCAGTCCTACCTGGAATGAGATTAAAAGGAATGAATAAATTAAATAAAATGGTTTAGAATAATATTTTTAAGTGAGATAAATGTCAGCATAGATATCTCTAGAGAATAATTCTAAGACCATGGAAAATTTGACCACAAATCATAGAAATAATAAAGCAGGAAATTCATCAAACATCTTTGGCCTTTTAAATATGCACTTAAAAGCATTACTGAGTTTCTAAAACACATTTATCTGTCCTTTTTGTTGCATAGGTTTTGTCAGGTTTTTAGAAGGCTATTATATTGTGCTAATAACTAAAAGGAGGAAGATGGCAGATATTGGCGGTCATGCAATATATAAGATTGAAGACACAAATATGATCTATATACCCAATGATTCTGTACGGGTCACTCATCCTGATGAAGCCAGGTATGTACTGATGGTAACTGCTGCTGTTGCTTTTTTTTTTTTAATGTGGTAGATTAATTAGAAAACAAAATAAATTCAAAGGATTATAAATGTATGTAAAAACATGAGGTGCTGGCTCAGAATTCTACACCTTTGTTCTAGGGCTACTAGAAACCTTCAGTAAAACAGTAACAGTTGATTCAGGCGAGGTCAGTAGCGGCTACTAAAACCTTAGGTGAGGGGTTGTTACTGAGGAGAAGAATAGTCGTACAGTCCCAACATATTAAACTCCATGGATCTCTTTCAATGGGAAAAAGTATTTTTATGATGAAAAAATGGCAAAATAATAAATAATCAAACTTGGCATCAGCAATAATGAGACAAAACTGACATTATTTGCCTTTTAATGTGAAGCAATGGAAAGGGCAAATTTTACCTGATAGTTGTCTTGCTAAAAATTTAACTTGATTCTTAAGGGTGAGAAGATTCTTTTTTTTTTTTTTTTTTGAGACAGAGCCTCAAGCTGTCCCCCTGGGCAGAGTGCCGTGGCATCTCAGCTCACAGCAACCTCCAACTCCTGGGCTCAAGCGAGTCTCCTGCCTCCGCCTCCCAAGTAGCTGGGACTACAGGCGCCCGCCACAACGCCCGGCTATTTTTTGGTTGCAGCCGTCATTGTTGTTTGGCGGGTCCGGGCTGGGGATTCGAACCCGCCACCTTAGGTGTATGTGGCTGGCGCCTTAGCCGGTTGAGCTATAGGCGCCGAGCCTAAGGGTGAGAAGATAATCTGATAAACCCACACTGTGGGTCTTTCTGCAAGACAACTGGTCTGGACTCTTCAAAGATGTGAAAGTCATCAAAAACAGAAAACACAGAACTGCTCTAGACTTTAAAACAGACATGACAGTCCAATGCAGCATGGGAATTTCTGTTGGTTCCTGGGTTAAAATGCGCACGTGAGTGCTCATACATACACACAGGGCTGTAAAGAACTTTACTGGGATGTTGAATCAGTGTTAAATTTTGAGTTTGATAATAGCGTTGTGGTTATTTAGGACAACAGTCCCCAACTTCTTGGGCACCAGGGGCCAGTTTCATGGAAGACTGTTGTTCCACAGACTGGGAGCCCTGGGGGCCGGGTTCAGGATGATTCAAGCACATTTTATTTATTGTGAGCTTTATTATTTCACATATTACTTTGTAATAAATAATGAAATGGTTTATTGTGGTCTCTGTGCAGTTAAACCTCTGTACTAATGGTAATCTGTATCTGCAGCCACTCCCCAACACTAGCATCACTGTCTCGGCTCCATCTCAGACCATCAGGCGTCAGATTCTCGTGAGGAGCCTGCAACCTCGATCCCTCACATGCACAGTTTTGCAGTAGGGTTTGCAGTCCTGTGGGAGTCGAGTGCTGCTGCTGATGAGATAGGAGGAGGAGCTCAGGCGGTGATGTGAGCGATGGGGAGTGACTGTAAAGACAGATGGAGCTTCACACACTTGCCCCCCGCTCACGCCTGCTCTGTAGCTGGGTTCCTAACTAGTACCAGTCCAAGACCCAGCTGTTGGGGCCCACAGATTTAGGAGACTGTTCTTGTTTGTAATAGACCCAGGCTAAAATATTCAGGGGTGAAGTATCAAGCTATGTGCTACTTACTGTTAAGTGGATTAGAAAAATAAAATGTGTATTTAAAAGAGAGAGAATGTTTGTATGTGTGTTTAAGGAGAGGGCTCTAACAGTGAATTCAGAAGGACATACTGTATTTCCTAATTATTTTGTACATTTGAAATCTTCAGATGTTTTGGAGGGAATTTTTGGACCCTTGTGGGAAAAAGCTATTAACATTGATAAATTCAAAATTATAAAGTTTGAATTGATTTAATATTAGGAAGATGAAAATTTAGCAAAGCAGTATTTCTAAGTTTTTAGGATAGATCCAATTTAGATTTTAATTATACTCTGTACTTCTGTAGTGTTATTCTGAACCAAAATTTAAAGGTGATGTGCTCTTTTACTTGAGAGCTTAGATAATGATTTTCTGGACCCATGTGACATTGCTTTTGATGATTATTTGGAAATGGGGTTGTTAAAAAATAATTTGTTTCAGATGAAGGTAAGTATAGTTTACCAGATATAGTTTTGTGCTAACTGAAAAAACAATCCTATCCCCTACAGCAGGGGTCCTCAAACTTTTTAAACAGGGGGCCAATTCACTGTCCTTCAGACCTTTGGAGAGCCGGACTGGCCTTGGGACGAGTTGGCTGCTAAGCAGGACAGGCAGCAGTGGCAAAAACACCCGACGGGCTGGATAAATGTCCTAGGCAGGGCCCATGGGCTGTAGTTTGAGGACACCTGCCCTACAGCTTATAGGCAGGCATACTGTGTTGGCTGAAGGTGAATCTGATTGACCAGTGCCCATGAATTCAAGGGACAGGAAAAAGTTAAAGAGATTTATATTATTTAAAAATTCCATCATTGTGTTAGCCAAGAATAGTAATATAAATACTATTAACTAATAGTTGTAATGTAGCAATTTGAATATCTTTAAAGAGTAAAATATGATTAATGTGTATAGCAAATGGACATTACCCAGTTTAATGTCCTTTTTTTTGTTGTTATAGGTAGATTGAAGTAATACTACTTCCAGTAAGATAGGAAAAACTTTTAACTACTTACTATGTTATCCAATAATGCATTTAAGTAAAAATATTGGGTAAAATAATAGGAAATAAAATACCGTACTATGCAGTACAACACATCTCATACACAATGACAAGTAGAGGTTATTCTTCTATGCGTGATTTATCAATTTTAGAAAATCCCCAGAGCAATTTACCACATTAAAACATTGCTGAGGAAAATTATGATCATCTTAATATTTGCAGAAAATAAATTTGATAAAATCTGATACTTGTTTGTAGTCAAAAGTCTTAGCAAAGCAGGAATATAAGCAAATTTTCTTAATCTGATAAATCTATTAAAAACCTATATCCAAAATTACTCTTCAAAATGAAATCTTAAAAGCATTACCTTTAGTTAAGGTAAGGAACAATACAGAGGTGTCCGCCATCAGTACTAATATTCAACATCCTGTTGAAGGCCCTAGCCAGTGCAATAAGAGTAGGAAAGTAAGGCATAAAGCTTGAGAAGAGACAAATATTGTCATTATGCAGACAGCATGAATTTTGCTTGGAAAGTCCAAGAATATCTACAAACTCTCAGAAATAATGAAAAAGTTCAGCAAGGTGACAGAAGAGAAGATCAGCATGTGGGCACCAGTAATGTTTCTACACATTGCCAGCAACCAACAAGAAAATTTAGAAAATACCTGGGAATAAATGTAACAAAAGCTATATAGACTTTATGGAGAAAGTTATTATATAAGGTTTTTAAATTCCTAAATAATTGGAGAGATAGCCTTTGTTCATGGATCATAAGACTTTATGTCGTAAATATGCTGGTTTTCTCCAAAACTAATTCCTAAATTTAATGTAACTCGAATCCAGGTTTCAATAGGAATTTTGGAAATGGAACCTGACATAGTGATTTTAGAATTTATGTGGAAAAGCAAAAGTCTAAGTGTGGTCCAGACAGTTTATAAAACAAGAAAGAAGAAGCCATACCCCATAGTGAGACTGCTTGGCATTGGTGGAGAAATGATGTTGGTCAGTGAGCAGAGGGAAAAGCCCAGAAAAAGATCTGTTTTATGTGGGAAATGTAAAATATTTATATCATGTATAAATGTATATACAATTTCTATAATAGAGTGAGGACTACAAGTCACTGGGGAAAAGATGGGTCTAATAGTGCTGGCTTTGGGCAGCACCTGTGGCCCAAAGGAGTAGGGTGCTGGCCCCATATACCAGAGGTGGTGGGTAAAATGTAACAAAAGCTATGTAGACTTTATGGAAAAAATTATTAAAGCCCTGGCCAAAAACTTCAAAAAAAAAAAAAATAGTGCTGGCTTTCTATTTGGACAAAAATAAAATTAGATTCCAATCTCTGACAGTAGTCAAGAAGCAATTCCAGAAGTACAAAGGCAATTTTAAGAAAATAAAGGTAAATATTTTTGTAATTCTGGCTTGGAGAAAGAGTTATAAATAAAGGGGTGCCACAAGAAGCACCTGTAATCCCAGCAGCTTCCAGAGGCGAGGCAGCGGGATGCCCACAGCCCAAGTCTGAGGTTGCAGTGAGCTATGATGCCATTGTACTCTGTTCAGGGCATAGGGTGGGACTCTGTCTCAACAACAACAAAAGCAAAGAAATAAAATACAAAAATCACAAACTGTAAGAGAAACAATGATATATTTGCTGCTGTCAATATTTAAAATATATTTATAATCTAGACAAATTTTAGGAGACAGTCTGAAAGCAGATGTTTGCAACGTAGCATAAGGATTAGTACTTAGAATGCATGAAGAATTTCTCCAGATCAGTGAGACAAAGGTACAACACTTAACTAAAATAGGATTAGTAGTTAGAAACAGGCAATTCCCAGAAAAGATTCTGAACCTAATAATTTGGGAAGTGCAGATTAAAAAATAGCATTTTATTCTCATTAGTCAGGTTGGGAATAATCCAACTATCTGCTGTTGTTAGGTATTAGCAGAGATGTGGGATGTGAGCTGTACACTGTAAGTAATACACTATGAGTTGGAGTGATTATTATTTTAGCCACTTAGGATAATTTGATGTGTTTTAGCAGAGTTCAAAGTGCACATTATTTATTGTCCAGCAGTTCTTATTTCTATGTGCTGTAAAGACACTCTCATACATGTGTACGGGAAAACATATAAACATTGTATCATACATGTATGATGGAAAACTGGAAAGATCTGATGGCCTATCAGCAGAAGAATGGATAAACGGAGGGTGTCACGTGTAGTTGACCCTCCTTATCCTTGGGTTCTGCGCCGATGGGTTCAACCAACCATGGATCAGAAATATTTGAAAAAAAAAATTATGTCTGTACTGAATATGTACATTTTTTGTTGTCATTATTTCCTAAACAATACAATGTAACAGCTATTTACATAGCATTTCCATTGTATTAAGTATTATAAATAATCTAGAGAGGATTTAAAGTATAAGGGAAGATATGTGTAGGTTCTGCAAATACTGCACTATTTTATATATAAGGGACTTGAGCATCTGTGGATTTTGGTAGCAGGGGAACTCTGGAACCACTTCCCCATGGAGACCTAGGGGTGACTGTACCTGACAAGGTACCAAACGTCAATTAAAGTGAGCAAATTAAATCCATAACTTTCAACACAGCTATATTAGATATATCAAAAAATGTGAGTTGTAGGACAATCTGCAGAGTTTGAAATGATTCGTGTAAATATTTTAAATATATAATGCAATGCTACGTATTGTCTAAAGATGTCTCCAATGTAATGAAAGTAAAGGGATACACGTGGGCTGGAAAGAATCATCAATTACAAGAAAATGGTCAGCTCTGGAGAGAGAACAGGCCGAGGGAAATGTAAAGGGCATTTTAACTTTTTATATCCTGTTTTAGTTATTTACCTTAAAAAGGTTGAAACAAATATGAAAAGTGTGAACATTTATTAGTCCTGAGTGGTAGATAGGTGAATATTTTATTCTATACTTTGTTTCAGTTTTAAAAACTTTCCAACTTAAAATTACGGTGACTCACAAACTTTTTGCTTATTTTTGTTGGTCTCCTCTCTCTCCATTCCTCAAAACATTTGCAAAGCACATGGCAAAAGCAGAAACAGGATTTCCTTGTTCTTTATCCAAAATCTAAGTGCTGGCTCCATGGGGAGCCTGACTTTGCCTCTCACTGGCACAATCAGTGATGAGGAGCAGTCAAACTGTTAAGTCAGGGGTCTTTGGAGGGATGATCAACAGATTTTAGAGGAAATCCCTATTCCAGGTGTGGTTTCAGTTCTTCAGTTTTAACAGGTGTGTTTACAGATATGAACATATATGAGTACATGTTAAACTATGAAAATTAATAGTATTGTCTGAATGTAATATACTTTGACTTTTTTTTTAAGGTATCTACGAATCTTTCAAAATGTGGACCTATCTAGCAATTTTTACTTTAGGTAAGTTTTTAAGCTTAGTTTGCTCTTACCTATCACTTAAATTTTTAAATTATTTTCCAAGGATAAAGACAGAATTAGAATACATAGTAGAACTTTCTCTGTTTTTTGAAATAGCCATATTATTTTATTTAAAAGCATTAAAGTGCAAGTATTTCCTCCCTATAAAAATCTGATATCTGAGAATCCAAATGGATAAAGTAAGGGGTATTTATTCTCACTATAAAAATCATTTTTGTTTTAGGTAAGAGTTGCTATATTTTAAAGAAATATTCTCAGTTTTAAAGTTTGAATTATAAAAATGAAGTTTGCATTCATCTCCTAATACAGAGTTGTAACAATTTCACAGTTCAATTTTCAGTGAATAATCTGGCAAAGTTTGCTAAAAATAAATTTAAGATAAGAAGAACTGTTCCAGTACTGATGGTGGCATTATAAACTAGTAGTTTTCTGGGTAAGGAACGTAGCATTAAGCATATATGAAAATAGATCCTATGAAAGTATACCAGGAAGGAAAATACAAATCCTTATTAGTAAAGAGACATTTATAGCTTCTGTATTTGTGATAATCCAAAAAAGCAACCCGACCAAGCCAGGGACAACGCACATATTGATAACTGAAGAACAGGCAAGTGAATTATAATAGAGCATCGTGAGAAAGTGTTAGACTGCCATTGGTAACCAGTAGTGGGCCTGATAGAATTTTCCGTCCACCACAATAACTGTATCTATCAGTTATAATATCCAAACTAAAAAATAGAACATAAACTAGTAGCCACCAGTAAGGACCTGAGTCATGAGGACTAAAAGGACTAGGACATCTGTAGCTGTTGGTGCAAATAATGATGGGGTACTTTGCATTTTAAAACATTTATTTTTAATTGTTAAGATAGTTAACTATTTCTTTATGAAATAAAGGCAAACATGTCTACTATGTAGAGTGGACTGTGTCTTCATTGATGTAGAACTAAAAGAAGTTAATTATTTAACAGTAGTAGAGGAAGGGCTTCTAAAGAAATAGTTTTCCCTTCCACAAATGCTTATTGAATATTGAATCGATATCGCCATCGTATTTGTCTCCATCATCTACCTTTCTGTCTTTATTGCTTACTTTAATGTTTGTGTTCTGTGAGTTACTACTGACACTTAGTGGTATCGTTAGCAATGGTCTCCCCTGCTTCATGCACCTGTAGTCCCAGCTGCTAAGGAGTCTGGGGCTAGAGGCCCTCTTGATCCCAGAATTTCAAGGCTGTAATGATAAGTGTTACATGTTCACACCATTGCATTCCAGCTTCTGTGATGAAGCAAGATCCCATCTCAAAAAGAAAAATAAATCAGAAACCAACTTCTTAATATTACTTTTATCCTTTTGAGGTTAGATGCTATTAACCTCAGTGGATCCATCAAGCAAATGTGTTAAAATTGCATTTCAGAGATGAAGTAAATTTCAAAGTATCAATAAACTAAAGCAGAAAAAAATTAATGTGTGAGGACCCCCCAAACAAAATTGTAACCATTTTAAAATTTGACTAAAATACTATAAAAAGAAATGTGTATATACCTAAAGTATTCAAGATGCATTCTGAAATTCTATGCTAAAAATATATATAGCTAGAAATATTTATAAAACAGTACTAATTATGTGGAATCAGAATTGTAGTGAGTTTCTTTTGGGCTAATGTCCAAATTAATGTACACAGACTATTAGTATTTTTCAAATGGCTTTTACTCTCCTAAAGTACATTTCATTGTCATGGCCTATGTTATTCAGTTATTCCTATTTTATTATGAACTGTGTTATGATACCACCATCAGTAATTTACAGAATTATTTTTGCCCATGGGTAAACTAGGATACTGACTGGGCACTCTTGCAGTGGTTACAGTACAATCTATAGAACCCCATTCAAATACCTATGGAATTGTGACTCCTTTGCACAAGACCATGAACTTAGATTGATTTCAGTTATTTGCCAAAAAAGGCACCTTGTACGAATCAAAGCATGTAGGTTACTCACACTGTATTGTGTATTTCTAGTCATGCAGATGCCTGAGTCATGTAATGGGTGTTTTATTAGGCTCATAGTTTGCTGTGTTCTCCAGTACTTATTTGAACAGCATTGCTTCCAACTTAAGTAATAGGTGCTAAGTAATTTAATTCACAGATTTTTAATTCCATACAGGAGCCAAGACTGAAATATGCTTTGCTTTTGGAGCTCTTATTAAGTTTCAATTCTGTTCTCAGTTACAGCTACGATTTGTCCCACTCACTTCAGTATAATCTCACTGTCTTGCGAATGCCCCTGGAGATGTTAAAATCAGAAACGACCAAGACTCGCCAGGAGAGCTTTGACATCTTTGAAGATGAAGGATTAATTACCCAGGGTGGAAGCGGTAGGTGGTTTTGGCGTATCTAGTGTATGTTAATGTGGCGTCCATGAAATGGCATCTCCTTAAATTCACCCAGATTCCCTCATATTTCTCCATCCTTCCTTGCTCTTTGTCCTCACATGGGGTTGTTTTGGATATATGAACTTGACTGATCCATTTTTATAGAGATTATTAATCACTATGTGATTTCATTTGTAAGCCAGCCAGAGAATTATATGCTGGCATTTTCCAGCAATTATTCATGCACTTTATCGAATACATTTAAGTCTAGACTTTTGACGAGGTTTACATGGAGAATTGTTTTTCTCAGTGTTGGATAATACACACCTTATTTTCTTTCGCAGTTTGGTATGGCCTGAATTTTAGAAAATTTTAGAAAAAAGTTACCCTGCATTACTTATTATGTGCTATTCATTAGCATATAATATTCTCATAAAAATGCTAGTCAGTAGGTAAAATGCCAGTTTTACATAAAGAATTAAACTATTTATATAAATATTAATATTTGAATAATTAGAATTATTAGAATGTAGACATCTTTGCTGGGGGCAGGATTATTCTCCTACCACCAAGGATATACTGATAAGAAATAGCCCATGAAAGTAGAAGCTGTGGGGTTAGAGAGAAAGGAAAATAATACTTTTTTTTTTCAGGTCTCTACTGTGTGTCAGGTACTTTGCATATTCTATTCAATCTGAGCAATAGCTCCTAAGTGAGTAGTAGTAACATCATTTTATGGTTTAGAAAGTTGAAGTTCAGAGAGGTTAAGTAACTTGCCTTATGTCACAGAGCTAGTACCTGACGAAGACAGGACTCTAGTCTTGTCTGTATTATTCCTTCTCTTGTGTAATGCATTGAAAGGGAAGAGAAAGTTTTTAAGAAGCAGATTAAAGTGTATTTGTTATAGCATATAAAGAAATCCTCTTAACAGATCATGTTTTGAAAAAAAAAAATACGGCATTAACTGCAATCCAAAACTGTTACAATCTTTTAAGCCATTGTGTACTTATTTCTTATTTTTCACTTCATATTCACTTCATGTAAATTTTGTAAAACTCACTGCTGTTTAATAAATTTATCCGGATATGTTAAAATCGCGTTTGATGAGATTAATTGATTTCTTCGTACAGAAAAGGCCTGATGTAGTAACTGCCATTTATGGAAGTAGTAGTTAACGCACCAGGCGGGTTAAAAGCACTTTCTGTGCATTACTAGGTCATTTCTTTCTGATGCAGCCACACAACACACATACAGGTGTGGACACAGAGGCGCTGAGATGAGTAACATCTTGAAGGTGCCCGTTACCCTGCTGGTAGGAGGCAGAGCGAAGATCTGGACCCGGGAACCTGTACTCAGCCGGTACTCTGCCAGCTCTTGTCTGTATTAATATATTTGTACACATGTCCTTCATTTCCCTGCTGTTCTCTTTTCTCCTAAGAACTCTCATGAGTCAGAATGTGCGTTTCTTCTTTGACTTTGTACAGATCAGCACAACACTGTGACTCCCCGTAGGAGTGACATCCACTGAAAATGGCCATGCTGTTATTCGGGCATCTCATTTTGAAGTTAGAAACAGAATTTTCAGAACTCAAAAATGAGTCAAATATCAACCTATTTCCTTATCTTAATGACACCAGCTTTTATTTTTCAGGTGTATTTGGGATCTGTAGTGAGCCTTACATGAAGTATGTGTGGAATGGTGAACTTCTGGATATAATTAAAAATACTGTGCATCGTGATTGGCTATTGTATATTATTCACGGGTTCTGTGGGCAGTCAAGTATCCTTTTTGAAAAATTTAAGATACATATTATGAAACTTAATGCTTTACTAATTTATAAAAGGCTACATACAGATTATAAGACTATAATTATCAGTCTATGTATCCCAGCAGAAAAACGTACCCATGATACTTGAGCTGACTACCCAGACTACTTGAGCTGACCTGTATGTATGGAGAAAGATTAATAAATATCAAGGTAGAAAATGCAATGTACATAATATGCGATGTACGTAGTATCGTGCTTATCTGGGAGGAGCAGAATCACTGACAGGTGGGGAGAATGGGAGAGGCCCATGGGAATAGTAGAACTTGGCCTCGGCCCTAAACAAAAATCAGCTTAGCAGAGAGAAGAGAAGTCATAGGTTGTGGAAACACCATGAATGTAGATGTGGAAAAATATGCAGAAGTGTTCTCTTGGCTCGTGTGTAAAACGCCCAAGAGGTAGGATGTAGTGGGAAGGAGATTGGTGGGTGGGAATCAAATTGTCAGTCGTCAGATTGCCTGGGTGATCAGGCTAAGAACTTTGGGTTTGGTACGAGAACTTTTGAAAGTTTTTGTTCAGGAGCGTAATACTTGCAAAGTAGTATTTAGGAAGCTTTTGAGTTGTTCAGCCATTTTCAAGTTGGATTAAGTAAAATGAGACTAGAACAAGGGACATGAGTTCGAAAAGTCTGCCATAGTTTAGGGAAGAGGGCAGAACAGAGTAAGTTAAGCCTTGGGTTAAGCCGATGAATTCAATTTTATGAAAATTTTTTTTCTTTCTACAGCTTCATCTTTCATTTAATTTCTAGCTATGTTGAGACCTTTCAAGAAAGTGCAATTATGTTATGAGGTTTAGGAAGGCAGTGTATATACCACGTAGAAGTAGTGTTTAGATTTTTCCTATCACTTTTGGAGATAATATGGGGCATTTTTGCACCCAACTTATTTTCTAATTGAGGTCCTTCTTCTGTCTTAGGCTTGTAAAGACCCCTGGTGAAAACTTCAAAAGAGTTGTTGCTTTGAGACCATTAAATGCCTGTATATAACTAACTATTTTTATGCATTCTTGTGTCAGGAGCATTTGGGAAGAGTGGGATCAAGGCACAGCTGGAGAGGGTAGCCTTGAAGAGTGGCAGGGCTGCCTTCTTGGTGGCAACGGAGGGGGGCAGAAGCTAAATGAAGGCCTAGAGAGCTTCCGAGATGAAGATGAGTGAGATTTATATGCTGCACTTGAAAATCAAGTTCATTACTCTGTAATCATTTTCGACCAGTGAGTGGTATTATCTGCATGATCATTCACTACATAATGAGATTTGAACCTGGATTACTTTTGTCTATTTCTGAAAGTAAAATAAATTTGGGAAGAAAACAGGTTTTTCACTATCAGAAATATCAAAAAGAATGTGCTACAGTTTCTACAGGCAGTTTTAAAAGGTAGTTCTGTTCTGTATTTCTAAGAGCTAACTTGGGGCCTGGAATACATTAAGCATAATGTTTGTTTTTAAAAATAACAAACTGTATCATAGATTATAATTTTAAAGTTCATTAGTTTAAATCAGGGGTCCTCAAACTTTTTAAACAGGAGGCCAGTTCACTGTCCCTCAGACTGTTGGAGGGCTGGACTGCAGGCCCTGGGATGAGTCAGCTACTAAGCAGGATAAATGTCTTAGGCAGGCCGCATGTGGCCCACGGACCGTAGTTTGAGGGATGCCTGGTTTAAATGATGAATCGAATCTCCTGGTTATCATGCATTTAATGAATTCTGGAAGTCTATATGATGATAAAAGTCGCTGCTATTTATTGAACATTTACTGTAGGCTAAGCACTAAGTTTTAAACATGTTACCTCCAACCACCTAATAAAAGCAGTTACTTTTAACTATTATTCCCTTTTATGGAAGATGAGACTATGGCTTAGAAAGATAAGAAGACTTTACTGATAAGCTGTGTGTTGGCTGAACAGGTCACAGTAATTCATTATGTCTTTAGGTTTTGTAGTTAGGTGACAAATTTTAACTCCTTTTACGGGTAATACTTCATTGTCTGAGCATTATGTTGTATATTGTTTATAATTTAAGCAACGTGTTAAATGGCACTTGCTGTCTTGGGAGGCATATGACCTCTGAAGACTGAGGAAGATTAGTTATGCTTGTTTACATCCTGTGCTTGGCTAGAGGTCTTCCCTTGAACAGTTACCCTATGTGGTGTTACTGTTTCCTCTGAAATTCTTTTCTTTTTGTTTTTTTGAGACAGAGTCTCACTCTGGTGCCCAGGGGTGGAGTGCTGTGGTGTCAAAACTCTCAGCAACCTCAAACTCCTGGGCTCAAGCAATCCTCTTGCTTCACCCTCCAGAGTAGCTGGGACTACAGGTGACCACCCCAACATCCAGCGAATTCTTCTATTTTTAGTAGAGATGGGGTCTCACTCTTGTCAGGCTGGGTTTCAAACTCCTGAAACCATCACGCCCAGCTCCTCTGAAATTCTTGAAAACTACTCCTTGGCAGTTTGGCTTCCTAGTTTCCTGTCTAGTACTTGTATTATTAGCTATTTTGCCCTCCCTTTAATCCTGTACAGTTTTGAAGAACCTTTAGACCCAGTTCTGTTCTGTTCTTGTGCATTGGACAAGATCTGTTTAAAAGTATATTTAAGGTAGATTCTCTTATTCTTGTGTGAGAGTCACAAATGCTGAACAGCCTTAACTTAGTTTCTAAGAGCTGTTGATCTATGGGCGACCAGTGTATGTCACCCTTATAGCTAGAAGATCCAGTAAGTTTGCTGGGACCCGTTTTCTGAAGAGAGGTGCCAACTGTGAGGTAAGCTGCCAAACAGTGTCATTGCTGATGTTTAACATTTTAGGAAACTGAAATTTTAAAATGTAGAATTTTTTAGTTTGGGATATTATTGAGTTGCCCTTTAGTATCCACAAGGAATTGGTTGCAGGACCCTCTTTCCTGTACCAAAATCCAAAGATGCTTAAGACCTTTATATAAAATGGTGTAGTATTTGCATATTCCTACGCACATGCTCCCACGTACTTTCAATCATCTCTAGATTACTCTTAAGAGCTAACACCATGTAAATACTATTAAATAGTTGTCACACTGTATTATTTAGGAAATAATGTCAAGAAAAAAGCCTGAACGTGTTTAGTACAGATGCACCCACCGCAGGCCAGACTACATTTTTGATCAGAGGTTGAATCCTTGGATGTGGAACTCACAGATAAGGAGGGTTGGCTTAAATAACTCTCCTGAGTTTCTGAAACTTGTGAGAAATATGACTAATGTACAGATGCCCTTTAAAGTCAGTTGTCTTAGAGTTATGCAGTGTTTTAGTGAGTTATGAAATGTCTAACGTTTTCGAGGATGAGCCATTTCTGTAACATGGAAAAAATGTAGTACAGGTTTAGTGTAGAGAAAAACACAGCAAAGCGCCCACCCAAGGAACACGCAGGCTGGAACGCAGCGCTCACTGTTAGAAGTACATTCTCAGCGAGGAGACGAAGTAGAGCAAGGCGTGGGAGCCCTGTGCCCTCTACCCGTCTCTACCCAGACTCCTTTTCCTAGTCACTACTGGAAAATAACAACAAAAATTAGTCCATCCTTCCATCAGCCATGTCATCTCCTTTGAGCGCTCCATCTATTTGCAAGTGACAACTTGAGCCTTGAGCAGATATGTGATTCAGTAGAGACCGAATGAGGTATTGGGTTTTGATCCTGGCTTAAAATAGCAGCAGTGTTCTTAAAATAATATCAACAATGAAAAATCATTATAACTTGTGCTCTAAAAAATCAGAATTTTGAAGTTATATTACTTTTGAATTTTCAAAGGATAATGAAACAGACATATTATTAATGCCTCTAAAATTACCCTGTCATATCCTTATATTTTTTATAAGTAAAGCTACTTCAAAACCCTTTTTGTCTTCCTTCTTTCCATCAGACATTATTCGAATCTCACTCCTTTGTCCTTTCATTTCACTTTGATCTTCAGAATTGAATTTTGCTAGTCTTTGGTCTTCCTTACCTGATGTATAATTTCATGTAATTGTTTTTCTTTTCTCTCCTTTCTCTACCATTTATACCAGCTGTTTCCTATCTAGTACTTGTATTATTAGCTATTTAATTGGATTTTGTTCCTCTCTATTCTCTGCTACTGTTAATTGCCTTTTATTATATTTTAATGATTTTTCTTTTCTAATGTACATATTGACTATTGATCAACATTTACCTCTTTTCAGATGTTCAAAGAATGAGAATTGTAGTTTCATTATATTCTTGAAATTTTTTCTATTAAAAGAAATTCTTAAAAACATGACATCTTTAAACACATCTTCCTTTTCAGGGTGATGTCGCAAATGAAGTGGAGACTGAACAGATACTCTGTGACGCGTCCGTGATGTCTTTTACCGCAGGAAGTTACTCTTCTTACATACAAGTGAGAGGATCAGTCCCCTTATACTGGTCTCAGGACATTTCAACTATGATGCCCAAACCACCTATTACATGTGCGTGGAACAGTCTCCTGATAGTAACACTTCTGTACTCACATATGGAGATAATGTGCTGTTGGCACAGAAATCTCATAAATGCTTAGATTTCAGTGAGAAGGTGACCTAGAAGGTAGATAATAGAAGAGGACTGTATATTGTTTTTATCCAATAATTTAAATTTGATTTTGACTGTTTATAAATTGTTTATATTTCACTTCAGAAGTGGTAGGATCATTCAAATGTAATGAATACCTGATGAAGGAGTGTCCAGTGAGCTCCTTGAGAGGGATTCAGGAAGTGGAGATTTATGGGGTTATATTTTATAAACATTTATAAAACCCCTACACTTCTTGTATTTCTGCTTTATAATTTTCACTGAGGGCCTTACTCATCTTTTTTCCTTCCCAGTGGACCAGGCAGATCCATTTGCACACGTGGCTGCCCTTCACTTCGACCAGATGCTTCAGAGGTTTGGCTCCCCCATTATCATCTTGAATTTAGTGAAGGTATGCTGGGCTTTTCGGTTTGGTTGTGAGATTCAAACACACCAGGTGATCTTTTCCACAGTGCTGGGGGAGTGGGGGTTCAGGAAGCTATGCCTCACCTCTCACCGGAAAAGAGCCCTGTGGGTGGCACCCTGGGACAGCTCTCTGTGTCTGGACTGACTGAACCACTGTCCTTCGGCCTCAGATTACATGTGGCTCCTTCCCTGTGTACCCAAAGGAATCGGTAGTTTGTTTCCAAGGGAAGAGAGGAGACCATGTGCGTGAGGTGTAGTTAAAAGTACCTTAGTTTTGCCTTAGTTTTCGGGATAACTTGGAGGAGGAAGCATGAAGGTTAGCTGTGATACAGTCAGCTCCTTTGACCATCCAGGAGGTCTCCTGGGCAAGCTAGTATGCAGTAATGGGATTAAAGGCTAGATTCAGAAGTTGGGGTATTGTTGTGGCTCAAGGATCAAGCGGGCATGTGAGAAACCCAGCCAAGGTGGCGGTCATGGCTCCTAGTTCTCTATTTCCGTGCCAGAGCACACTTGCTGGTCAGCATATCTATATATATGAGTTGGGTGTACAGGTCAAAGGCCTGGGATAGGGGCAGGAGATCAGACAACAGAAGTGAATTGAAAGAACCTCAGTAGCCAAGAGGACCCTGTGAGTATGAAAACTGAGGGGTTTGTCATGTGACATGTGGCAGTGGCCAGCAACCTGAGTGTCTGAGGTTATTCTGAGAGATTGTTTAATATACACAAGTCAATTTGCTAAAAAACCAAGGAACTCTCTGTTCTCATTTATCAAGTGTTTTTGAGGGTTTCTTGTGTGCCAAGGCAATTGCAGAAACAGTTCCTGCCTGGAGCCAGCAGTCTGTCGGAGGAGATGGTGAGATAATGCAAAGGAACCAGTGCAGGGAAGGAAGCTGGGAGAGCCGATGATGGTGGGGAAGTCTCCCTGGGGACTTGGTGAGTCAGCCTCACCTGAAGGAAGAGGCAGTAACCAGGGAAGAAGAGAATCATTCAGGAGAGCACAGCATGTACAAAGGGCCCAGGGCAGGAGGGGAGGAGTTGAAGGAAGATAAGGAAGATCTGTGTGGCTGGGGCCCAGAGGTCAGTGCTGGAGGGCTTATTGTGAGGGGAGGCTAAAGAGATAGTTGTATGAGACCGTGAGAGCATCTAGGGTGTGCTCATGAGTCTGGTCTTCTAGAGCAATGGCAAGCCAGTAAAGAGTCTCACATGGTTGAGAGGATCACAATCAGATTTATGTTTTGAAAAGATTACTGTGACCTCAGCATAGGGAACAAGTGGATTGCTATAAAGTTAGAGTCAGTGCTTCAAGGGCAGGTGGGAGGCTACTGTTAATTGTCCAGAAAAGAGGTGATTCTGGCTTAAACCAGGGTGATGTGGCAGAAAGGGAGAAAAGTGGATGGATTCAGAAGACCGGATTGAGCTGAGGGAGAGGGAGGAGTCAGGGTTGGTTCCCAGGTTTCTGGCTTCCTCAGGTGGCTGAATGGCAGTGCCAGTCACTGAAGTAGGGGACGCTGACTGACTCAGTTTGTAGGGGAAGGTCATGACTACAGTTTGGGTATGCTGAGGTTTGAGGTTTTTTGAGTTCTCTCAAAGGAGCTAATAAGTAGGTAGTCAGTATATGTCAGGAGCTCAGAGGAGAGGGCTGTGCTGAGATGTGATTTTGTGACTCTGTGCAGGTGACATTTGCAGGCCTGGGCTGGAGTAGAACATATATGTTCTCTCACTCTATATATGGAGTAGATAGAGTGAGAGGGAAGAAGAACCTCAGTCTAGTCTTTGGGATCCGCAATTCTTGCTCTGTTACCCAGGCTAGAGTGCAGTGGTGTCATCATAGCTCATCGTAACCTTGAACTCCTGGGCTCAGGTGATCCTCCTGCCTCAGCCTCCCAAACAACTGAGAGTACAGGGCCACCACACCCAGCCAAGATCTCTACCTCTTAATGTCTAGTTAGAATGGGCTGAATCTCTAAAGGAGCCAGAGAAAAAACAGCCAGAGGAATAGGAAGAAAGCCAGAAGGTACCATGTTAAGAACAGCAAGAAAAAACATGTTTTGTGATGGAGAGAGTAAGTGGTCTACAGTCAATAAAGATGAAAGGGCCCAAGGAAAATCAAGGTGAAAAAGATGCCCCTGGGGGCAGCAGCATAGTGAGCACTGGAGTGGGGGATAAAAGTGAGCAAGGGTGGCAGAGAGCACAGTACTTCCACTAGCAGGGTACCCAGTGAAAGATGGTATGCTGGTGCTGTTTTTAAAAGGATCATACGGCTATATTTAAAAGCCTGTGGGGAGGATCCATTTGAGAGCACAGGAGAGAAAAGGGATGATCACTGATTTCACGTATTTAAGAAAGTAGGAAATGATGAAATCTGAAAGACTGTCGGGGGAGTAGTAAGGTGGTTGCATGCACCACACACATTCTGATGGCTTAGATTTCTGTGCACAGCAGGAGAAAAGGTTGAGAGTGGTGGTTTGAGGGCCATGGAGAAAGTTTAAGTCTCGTGTATGTAGGAGGGTAAGTTGGCAAGAGACATCCAGGCAGTGCTAAGAGCCAATTTCAAGTTGGCGATCATGATTTCTTAAAGGGAACCATTCTGCTATTACCTGGCCTTGTTTGGTTGTGCCAGAGAGGCGTGACATAAGAAGACAGATCAAAGGCATTTGGGATAGTGGCAATGCAGTGACTGAAGTGGACCATGAAATCTGAGCTGGCCAAGGATGCAGCGTAAAGGAGAAGAGTGATAGAGGCAGTAACAGCTGTCAGTAGATTGGGGTCCTAATTGGGGTCGTATTTAAACGAGCAGTTTGAAAGTAGAAGTTCTGGATAAGCAATGTTGAAGGCAGAACAGTTACCTCTGATGATGACTTGATCTGAGATGTGAGGGTGGGAATGTCGACTTCACCAGAGTGGAAGAGGAGGAGGAGGTACTGAAGGTCACCCAGGGTGCAGGCAGAGCGTGGGGTGGGAAGGGAGACTGTGCCCGGGG